TGCCGTAAGCCAGCCTACTGGCAGCGATCCTGCTCTGCATGCCAGGTCTCCTGCGTGCGGTGCAGTGAGTGAGGGGAAGAGGCGGGGCAGGAGGCATGGGAAGTGAGGTCATTTCCTGTGCCTCCTGTCCTGTGAGTGAGGAGCAAGAGCAGCCGGACAGAAACACCAGGTAAGTTCTTCCCTTCCCTCTCCCCCTGCCTCCCTGACAGTCCCCCTGCCTTCCCTGCACAGATCCCCTATCCCCTGCCTTCCCCGACAGTCCCCCTCCATATATCCCCTCTCCCCCTCCCTCCCTTGCACAGTTCCCCTCTCCACCTGACTCCCCTGCACAGATCCTGCCTCCCTGACAGTCACCCTCCCTTCCCTGTACAGATCCCCTCTCTTCCATGCCTCCCCTACACTGCCCCCATCCTCCCTGCACAGATCCCACTCTGTCCCTGCACCTTTAACAGCCCCCTGCCACACACCCCCTCCCTTCCTGACAAAAAAATAAAAGTCTATATTTTTTAAATGTGTATATAAAATTAAATTCAATAAGCGTGTTTCCTTTCACACCAATAAAAAGTTAAATATACTGAAGCGGTTCAGTAACAATTATTTAAAGGGACATTCTCCCCCCACCCCCCCTCCTCTGCCCACCCCAATAAAATCACTGGTTAGTAGCTTTTGAGTAGATATGCCCCCAATGAATAACATGAATGACTTTTTCATGCATGTATTCATTGGATGTATATCTTAAAAAAGCTTGAAAATTTTGTTTTGTTGGGTTAGAGGCATTGAGTACTTAAGAGGTATGTCTGGTGCAGCCACGGACATCCACGAATGCACTGTACATGACGTGAGTCGAGATAGGCGCGGCAAACTCAGGGGCAGCCCCGGGCAGCAAAAGCTCTAGCTACGCCACTGCTGCCTAGTAACACCTCTAGTGGCCGTCACTCAAACATTCTGCGTGGAGGTGATGAACGTTCCCCATAGAGATGCATTGATTTATTGCAACTCTACTAGGAGATGTTGATTGGTAATTGATAATCTCAGGAATGGAGGCTGGCAAGGTGTAGCGAGACTGGCATAGGCTTGGAAAAAAGGTGAGTAAAAACACCATTCCCATGCGATCAGAGGCGGCTGGTGACCTAAATGCACACACTCATAGGCAGACACACACACCCTGACAGACACACATATGCTGACAGACACACATATGCTGACAGACACACACTCTCTCACACAGTCACAGACTGACAAACAGACACACACACACAGACAAACACACTCTCTCACACAGTCACAAAGTATTATTCCTTCCTTTTGGGCTCAGGGGGTTGGCTTCCCTGGGGTCCAGTGGGACTGGGCAGCAGCAAATGACAATAGATTAGTAGGGCTCCCTGAGGCTGATGGGAGCAGCTGCTGCTGTTCCAGACTCCCCCCTCCTCCTGTCTCCTCAGCTCCATGCAGATCTTTGTGCGCCTGGAGGAAGTGAACTGTAATTACTTCCTCCCGGCGCGCAGCCGGCTCTGTGTAAAGGGGCAGCCGAAAAGCTCTGAGAAAAACGGCCGGGTCAGCTCTGAGGGATGCGGGCAGGCAGCCGGCTCTGCGTAATAGGGATGGGCTAGAGGCCATTTCCGAGGGATGCAGGCGGCCGGCTCTAAGGAAAGCTGGCGGACCAGCTCTGAAAAATGTGGGTGGGCAGGCTCGGAAGAATATGGGTAGGCAGGCGGCAAGCTGGCAGTCTTTATATGCTGCCCTTCCAACTTGCAATTGCCCTGCGGGAGGAGGGAGGGAACGGGCTGACCAATCCCAGGCACCAGGGCAAAATTCTTAGTCGCCATGGCGACCTGGGATTTGTCGAGCCCTGGCTCAAATTGCTGAAAAACTTAAAGCGGCACTGTCTTGGCCGAATCCCATTTTTTATTTTTAAACCCCCTCCCGACTCCACTACATCTAACTGACCCCCTAGTCATCCCCAAATGCCCCTAAGCACCCCATATTACATATTTTTGAACTTTATTTTGTGCCCGGACCTAGTTTCTGGGCGCCGCCATCTTTGTGTGGGTAGATGAAGTCCCTGTGGGACACGTCATCTGCCCACACTAGATAGCTTTGTGAGATTCCTGCACATGCCCAGTTAAACACCTGGGCATGCGAACGGGAATTTCATCCATTCATTAATTCGTCAGAATGACGAATTAATGAATAGAAATGTCAGACGAACAAACAAACACTGAATATCAGTGTTTGTTTGTTCGTTTAGTTTATTACAAGGAGGGAGCTACCGGCGTGCAGCTCCCTCCTTGTAATATATAAAGATAGAAGCGGCAGGGAGCAGTGCTCCCCGCCACTTCCTAAGCCCCCCATGTCTTCCCTCACTCTATGGGGGTCAATATGACCCCCATAATAGCATAAGGGAGATTGAAATCTCCCCAATGCCCTTACTCGCTATATCGCGAGTAGAGGCATGTTTACTAAACAGTGAGCAGCCTGTGGCTGCTCACTGTTAAAAAACAAACAGTAGATCCTCCCCCACATTCACATTTAGGGCTCGCACCCGCTGCTCAGGGGTGGGGGCTGGGCTCTAGGTCCCCCCTTCAGTTTAATAGCCCCCACTTGTGCGGCACGGGTGGGGGCTCAGGAGGGGGGAGGTGTGTTTGCGGTATAGCGAGTAGGGGCAGATCATTTACTAATACTAAGTAACCTTTACTTAGTATTAGTAAATGTGGCTGAAAGACCAATTTCCGTCTTTCAGTCTTTTGGTAGATAACTCCCTGATATCGTGGGAATTAGGGAGTTATCTACTAAGCGGCTGCAAGATGCTCCTCCTACCTCTCCCAGCGCTCTTTCAGTGTTTCTTTCTCTGGCTCTGCTTCTTCTCCCAAACTCCTCTCTGTTTGATGTCCCCCAAGGTTCAGTCCTTAGTCCCCTACTGTTCTCCATCTATACTGCCTCCCTTGGTAAACTCATTAGCTCCTTTGGCTTCCAATATCATTTTTATCCAGATGACACGCAAATCTACCTGTCCTCTCCTGATCTCTCCCCGTCCCTCTTGACTAGTGTCTCTGACTGCCTCTCTGCTGTTTCTAACTGGATGGCTGCCTACTTCCTTAAACTAAACTTGACCAAAACTGAAATTCTGGTCTTTCCTCCCTCAAGTGTTGTTACTCCTGTGTCTCCCTCCCTCCAAGTCAACGGTGCTACCATCAGCTCCACCACGCAGGCTCGCTGCCTAGGTGTTCTCTTTGACTCCGACCTCTCCTTCAAGCCTCATGTTCAATCTATCGCCAAATCCTGTCATTTCCATCTCAAAAACATTGCGCGCATCCGCCCCTACTTAACGCCAGATGCGACTAAGGTGTTGGTCCATTCCACTGTCCTTTCTCGCCTTGACTCCTGTAATCCGCTTCTCAGTGGTCTTACGTGCTCCCAACTTGCGCCGTTACAGTCCATAATGAATGCGGCGGCGAGGCTCATCTTCCTGTCCACACGCACCTCCCATGCCTCACCCTTCTGTCAGTCCCTACATTGGCTTATGTTTTAAAGAAAACTAGAGCAGACAGGAAGAAATGAAGAACAGATCTGAGAGAGGAAGAGAAGAGGAATCAATTAAAGAAAGGTAAGTTCGGCATGACAGTGCCACTTAAATGCTGGCAATGATAGAAAGGTGACAGAACAAGCAGTGACTAGCAGTTTGCATAGCTGTAGACCGGTCAGAATGCCCTTGATGACCCCTGCCCATTGCCTAAAGCAGTTCCTTTATCTGATGAATCACATTTTGTTTTAAAATGGTGGATGGCCAGGTCCATGTACATCGTTTATCATGGGGAAGAGATGGCAGCAAGATGCACTATAGGAAGAAAGCAGGCAGACAGAGGCAGTGTTGCTCTGGGCAACGTCCTTGGGTCCTGACATTCATGTGGCTGTTAATTTGACATGTACCATCTACCTAAAGATTGTTGCAAACCATGACTTCATGGCAATAGTGCTCACTGATGGCAGTTACCTCTTTCACTAGGATAATGTACCATGCCACACTGCAAAATTAGTTCAGGAATGGTTTGAGGAATATGACAAAGAGTTCAAGGCGTTGCCTTGACTTCAAAATTTCCAGATCTCAATTCAATTGAGCATCTGTGTGATATGCTGGAACAACAAATGCAATCCATGGAGGCCCCACCTTGCAACTTGCAGGACTTAAAGGATCTGCTGCTAATGTCTTGGTGCCACATATAACAGGACAGGTTCAGAGGTCTGATGGAGTCCACGCCTCATGCATCAGAGCTGTTTTGGCAGCATGAGAGGTACCTGAGTTTGTTTCATGTTTCCTATACAGTGAAACATTCTCTAACAATAATCCAGATTTTCCAGAGTTAGATTTCCAAGTGTTTTTTTGTTTTAAATTTGTTTGATTTTATGTATTGGAAAGTCTGCGATTGGACAGCCACAGAACGTCTGGGTGGGGATAGAAGGGGAGGGCTTGTAAAGGCAGCAGACAAGAGATCTATGCAAGCTGTTTTTAGATATAACCCTAATGAAAAAATGCATAATTAAAAAGTATGAATGTATATTTGGGGATATCTATTAAAGAGTATTTTCTTTTTTTTAATAGGGCTCTAACATCAGTACCATATGTTCCAATTTAATTCTGTGAATTCTCTCTTTCATAACTTAGTCTCTTTTCACAGAGCTAAAACCCACAGTAACCTGCTGTGAAATGGCAAAGCGTGTTTATAAACCAGCCATGCTGCTTCTTGTTCTACATAGCATTAATCAAGTTGCATAAATAGCAGTTAGTAGGTCATGTCTTGCTCCCTGGACACCCTCCCAGACACAGCTCACTGCTGGCATTCCCGCTCCTTGGATGAACTCTCCCTTCACTGCACATGCGCAGTTTCGACTCTTTATCGCTTCAGCCAGTACAGAGCCAGAGAGGCGCGCAGAGAAAAACGTTCTATTGGCTCCGCCCCTCGTTCTAATCCCTGGTCATTACGTTGCGTCAGTCGCCCCGCCCACACACGCGGCACGGCTGTGCAGGTTGCGTCAGACTCCCTCCCCTCTGTCTGTGTCTGTCGGTCAGGGCTCGCGCTGTGTGTGATTAGTCGCCATGGTGGCCGCTCCCGGTTTCAGCAGCTCACACGGCGCCTCGGCTCCAGCCTAATGTGTGACCGGGACACGTCCTCCTCCCCGGGGCTCCGGGCGCTGCTCGGCCGCCTCCTGCACGGCCTGCTCCCCTACCGCCTGCTCCAGCTGCTGGGAGCGGCCCTGTCCTACCTGATCGGACCGTGGGGGGACGCCATCCTCTCCTTCCTCAGCCCTGACTGCGTCCTGTCCGCGCCGGGGGAGGAGGCCGGCTTCCAGGACATGATGGAGGTGCTGTTCAGCCCCGGCCCCGGCGGCATGGTGTCCTGGGTGGAGGGTAAGGGGCTGGAGACAGACCCCCTGTGCGAGTTCCCCTCTCAGGGCGACAACTGTCTGCAGATACAGTACTCCCCGGAGAATGGCTTCTGCTTCCTGCACAATAACCGGGCCTGGGAAGAGCTCGGCCCAAACAAGAGCCGGGCCTGGGAAGAGCTCGGCCCAAACAAGAGCCGGGCCTGGGAAGAGCTCGGCCCAAACAAGAGCCGGGCCTGGGAAGAGCTCGGCCCAAACAAGAGCCGGGCCTGGGAAGACCTCGGCCCGAACTGGCCCCAGGACCTGCTCAAAGAGTACAACCAGGTGAGCCCAACACTGCACGTGTCTATAGGGGGTATCATTCTAGATTTGAACCAGGACCTGCAAACAGCTGAAGAAATAATCACCGGTCTGCATGAGAAGCTCCACAAGGAGATGGCCGAACCGTGCCAGCTGGCTGCAGATGTTCCCAGCCATACTGAGAACTTAGGAGGAGACCAGGAGCTAAAACTAGTCCAGCAGCTGTCAATCCCATTAGACAGCCAGGAGCCTGCAGGATGTCCATTAAATAATGATGACCTTAGCCCAGATCAAGGCTACAGTAGTTTAGAAGATTGGAAATACTCAGATCTTGTTTGTACTTCAAACAAGGTGCAAGCTGGCATGCTAGAGGTCTGTGTGCCTGATGGGGATCAAGTGGCTTGCAACGTGCTAACAGAGCTACAGAACCTTAGTACAAATGAAAATGGAATCATTGAATCCTGTCAGCAGGATAGTGATGAGTCTGACTCAGACCTTGAAGAGGATGTACCAGTGTCCCATCCAGTGTGTAACAATAAATATATTGGGTATATTTTGGGCACTGTAGTCAGCGATGAGGAAAGTGAGGACTTGAGTTCTTGCTCAGATGAGGAAAACTCAGCTGATGATGATGGGTTTGACAGTGAAGGGTCTGTGTCAGATACTGACAGTGGGGCTGAAGATACAGAAGGAGTAGAACTTTGGAATTCATTTTATACAGAAGATCCTTATAATCCCCAAAACTTCAGTGCAGTACAGCATACAGGTACATCTGCTGAAGAAATTTCACATGTAGCTCAGGAGCGTGAGGATGTCCCATCAGATGAAGAGTCATGGTGTGATAGTGATGCTCTCTCCACTAGTGATAGTGAAGATGAATGCTGTGTAGATGAGGAGGAAAACCTTAAACTTTGGAACTATTTCAATAAGTCTGATGACCCATATAACCCTCTATGTTTTAAGGCATCAGTTCATTCAGCTGATGTTAAAAGACATCAAAGAGATGGAACCAGCAAAAATACCATTTTTATTTCGGAAAGCATCCAAAACTGCAAATTATCTACTACTTGTTCCAAAGAAGAACTGCCACGGTTTAATAAGAAACTTATCTTGCCTGTGGAGAATAGTTGTGCCATTTTTTCAAAGAAAAAGGTATATACCCCATTACATAAATTGTTGTGTAGCAGTACATTTGTGAATCCCATGTGTATAATCAATATGAGGTTTCATTTGCACTATAGCCTTATTGACCGTATTCTATTAGTGCAGGTTTAAGACTATTTAGATACATATTTTGGACTTCTGTCAGGAACCACCCAAATATCAGTATGGTAATGTTGGACTAATCTCAACCTTACATGTTTTAGAATGGTAACTCACTTATGACTCCTCTTGTGTATACTACAGTGATGGTTAATTTTGATTCACCAGGTAGCTGGCTGAGCATCATTGGTAATATAGTTGCAATAGTGCCAAAGATTAACCATAACACAATGCACACTGTAAGTTAACAGAATGTAGCCTTAAATATTGATGTTGCTTTATAGTCCTTTTAATAGTGAAGGTTTTTTTTTGTGTGTGTACATATACGCCCTAATTTGAATTATAAAACAAACTGAATGTTTCATGATTATAGTTGCCAACAGACCTTCAGTGGACTGTTGGGGTTATGGTGCTTGGTCCTTTAACCCCTTAAGGACACATGACATGTGTGACATGTCATGATTCCCTTTTATTCCAGAAGTTTGGTCCTTAAGGGGTTAATCATGGAATGTAAAGGCTAAAGCAAGCTTAGCTGATTTTATCAAAGTATGCTAAGAAGTGGTAAACAAAATAGACAAGGGTTCACCACTGGAATGGGCCTGCTGGTCACTCCACTTTACGTACTGTTGGGCTTTTAATTTTTTATTGTTTTTAAATAAAACAATATGAGAAATTTCCCCCTAAGTATCTATTACACTCATGAAATACTGAGCACTGCAGTTGCCATTGTTCATAGCCAGTTTTGCAACATTTGGTTTTTATTTTCCTTACTGTACCTTTTTTTTACTCATTTTGTGACCTTTAGGTTTGCAGTACCCAGTTATTACATTTAGAGGTGTTTCACTACAACAAAGATTTTCTTCATCTTAAAGGGACATGCATCACTTTGAGACAACTGTCTCAAAAAGGTGGGGGTGGCGGGACATGAAAATAAACTTCTAGTTGACTCATGCGCAATAGCACATTCTGACCATGTTTATAGTAGGTTTATAAACTTTTACATACTTTTCAAAAATTCTTGTTTGGTTTGTACATTTGAAGTTTTTGCTGACTAAAATAAACTGTCAAATGATGTATGTCCCTTTTTGAAGCTCCGAGGAAATTTTACATGAGTAAATTCTAGAACATGACTCTAGTCGAGTTTGACTAACTTTTGAAATTGAGGAATTTCCGCTATTTAACTTGCAAATGACACGTACCCTATTTCAAATGAATGGAAAATATTTGTTAGTGCTGCTCATGTAAGAAACTTCCATTTCCTCCTTCCTTCTAGCATTGCAGCTTACAGTCACTTGCCTTCTAGAAAAACTGCATTGTTTGTGTTTTAGTGTCATTGAACCTCTGGCAACCCATTGAAAGACATTGTAAAGTAGGAGATAGCTCAAACTAATAATGTTCAACAAGATCTATAATGGAGGAAATATAACTTATCTGTGTAAAGCGGACCTATTTCTTTTAAACTTTGCCCTTTGTTAATGAGTTTTAGGACTCCGTCAAGTTGTCTAGGAAATGTATAAATGTTTTTTATAGATACATGGAATATGACCTAATATTGCAATATTTCCATGTATTAAAGGAGCACTATAGTGTCAGGAATACAATCTAACTAGGTCACCACTCTCCCTCAGAGTACTTTTTTCCAACGCTTCATCAATGTTGTGGCTGCTGGCTCAATATTGATGATCTCAGCCAATCCAATGCTTTCTCATAGAAAAGTATTGGGAGGCTATTGTGCATGTGTGGCAAAATGCTGGCTCAATATTGGGAACGTTCAGTATCTCCACACAGGGTGTGTAGACACTAAACGCCAGTACTGCACACTGTACCAATTGCCGTCTGATGGCTATAGTGTTGCTTTAATTTTACCTTAGTCTATATTATTTCTAATGGTTTACTAAGGTTGTGGGATCTGCCCATATGTTGGTATTGTAACACCTTATCTGACCGCATATCTTAATCTGTAATACCTTGGTACTTGTTTTGATGTAAAGGTCATTTTCAATTGATTTTATTTTGGAGATTTTACAGAACAAGTGCAGCTGTCAGTAAGATTACCTTTTTCAACTGTAACATGCATATTTTTGCAGGAAAATTTTCTTTTTAAAATCATATTCATATTTGTACTCTTCCATTACACTAGTTCAGTCCCGCACTAGCTAATAAAGCTATAGTGCCACCTTGCTAGGCTAGTCTTTGAGAGCCAGTTTGTGATTGTTAAAGGGATACTAATATGCACCAAAACCACTTCAACTCAATTAAGTGGTCTGGATGCCATTCAAATCACTGAAGTTGACATGGTGCTAAACAGTTTTCAAATGATCTCTCTTCACGATATGCTTTCTCTATGCCATCGATCATGTGCAAAGCATAGGGTCTAGAACAATAATTGAAAGGGGCTCAGATGGTGGAACACATTCGACGGTCACTCAATTCTTGCGCCCTAATGCGGCTGCGTTTTCCGCCTTATGGATGCGCTGGCGCCTCTCACATCGGCAATATCGGTACCAATAGTGGCCGATACCGATATTTGCCTAAACCTGGAATATCGACCGATATCTGTCTATCCATATCAAGTAGCCTTAAAGAAAATGTTTCACATGTTTGTCACACGGCTATAAAATTTGTGCCATTACCTTATGAAATGTACTTGTAAAGTTGTAGGCAATCATTTTGGAAAATGCATCTTTCATTACTCCATTTTGTTTTCACTTTCTAGTATCTACTTAATCTTATATGAGTGTGCATGTCTAAATAATTTAGCGCGCCCTCTTTTAAATACTGACAGATTAGGTGCAATATGTAGGTGAAAGTACCATGAATTATGTTTTTCTTCTTTTTGATGCGGTTTCCAGTATTGCTAATGTTTTTTTCTGTACACGACTTTTCTTCTTCGGCTAGTTGTTGGCAGTTGTTAAGCTTTCTAGGCTACTATTTTGTGCTAGATTGATTTTAGGTCTACAGTTTAATGTGTTTCTAGTGTAAACAGACTGCACCTGCAGTTTCAGCAATGCAAATACTGCATTTTCTGAGGGGCAATGTATGCAGAACCAATGTTCAGTCTTGGCACTCAGAATGAAGATCCTTAACTCTTCCTGTAGATCTGCATCTCTACGAGGAAATGCTGATTAGCACTGATTGTTGCACATGTGCACTGGTCTCTATTGGGAAAGCAGTGGATTGGAAGAGATCCGTAATGCTACAGAGAGAGAGTATTTAAATCTAGCTTATACTACAGGGTCGTTGAATGCTTCAATCTGGTTGAAGAACGTTCTAAGGTGTGCATTATTTTCAGGGAGACGCACGGCTAAAGTAGTTCCAGACAGGTTTTGACCGCATTACAGTTGCGTAAGAAATTAGTCCTGCATACAAGAGCGTTTTAATGACAAAAACTTGACAAATGTCTTGAAATACATCTGAACAATGTTTCGAGGTAAGGTAACTGTAGTATAAGCGGAATAATTGACTCCAGGCCGTTGAATTATTAGAAAAAAAATAACGCATACCCGAGGTGTAACGGCCACTCCGCTTTGCGGTTGTGCATTATTTTTTTAAACAGCCTGTCGTCAATTATTCCTTATCACATGCTTCATTGTAGTAATAGGTTTTGTTCAATTTTCTGGTTTTGTCATTTAATGCTTTAAGATGTTACTCTAAGCATCATAACTACTACATCCTTCTCTAGTGGCCATGCCACAATTACCATGGCCCAGTTCCCCGGTAATGGGGCAAAATATTAACAAACTTGCACCCATACTCCTTGGTGGTCTGCAGTGCTGTAAAAGTCAGGTGCAGTCACCATTCATTAGCTGAGAGAATCAGCTGACCACTCCTAGCCAACAATGGACATGCTGTGCAAGAAAGTTGCCATAAATTGACAGTTCTGAGCTGGCTGGCATCTCAGTGATGCTGGCAGCGGAAGTAGTTAAATTCTGTTCATACAGGTACCAGGACCACTTCAAATCACTGTAGTGGTCTTGGTGCTTGGAATAATCCTTTACCCCCTTAAGGACCAAGCTTCTGGAATAAAATGGAATCATGACATGTCAGACATGTCATGTGTCCTTAAGGGGTTAAACATGCTATTGAAGCAAGGTACATATTTGATTTAAAGTGTTTCTTGTTTTTTTCTTTGTTTTTGTTTCCCTAAAAATTGCATATCTGTATAGTTTCATGTCCATACTCAACAACCTCATAATTGAAGATGCGGAATAATGCTTAAATAAATTGAGTGACATGTTGACAAGCAAGACTGTATTACTTCTAAAATCTCTTAAATGTTCTATAAAGGGCAATTTTTGCATTTTATGACTTTGCTTATGACAAAAAATACACTGGCATTCCAAATAGGGGATTAATGTATTCTTGGTGGAATTGATTCAGTTGTCATGAACCTATTATTGTAACTTTAGAAGTCATAGCGTAGCATCACTGATCAAGTCTCGAGAGATAAGCCACAGACTGATGCAAAGGACTGAAACAGAAAACCCACGGCGGGACCAAGCTGATGTAACGCTAAGACAGACCGAGAATTCTACAGGGATGCGGTGTAGCAAGCACCACTCATCTCAGGGAAAATACAATAGAAGGATAATTTATACAGGAAATACTACACCAAAACTAGGTCATGTGGGAGAGCTTTTATTTATTTATTTTCAGGTACCTCAGAGCACTAATGTGAATCTTCATCAGAGGGGATGGGTTGTGAGGAGACGAGTGGTAGGTTTAGATTGTGCTTGTAGTAAAAGAACGTGGATGGAGGAACTTATGTTAGCAGTATGTTTCATCTATTGCATAAAAGGTTGCTTATTTTTTATTTTTATTTTTTTTACATTTAAAGGACCACTATTGGCACCCAGACCACTTCAGCTCAAAGTTTTAACCCTTCAGCTGAAAACATGGCAGTTTCAGAGAAACTGCTATGTTTACATTGCGGGTTAATCCAGCCTCTAGTGGCTGTCTCACTGACTGCCGCTAGAGGCGATTCTCACTGAAAATCACAGCGAGAAGACGCTGACGTCCATAGGAAAGCATTGATAAATGCTTTCCTATGGGCGGTTTGAATGCACGCGCGGCTCTTGCCACGCATGCGCATTCGGCACTGACGTCGGCAGGAGGAGGATAGTTCCCCGGCGCTGGAGAAAGCCCAGTGGTAAGGGGGCCGTTTGGGTGAGGGGTGGGACCTAAAACGAGTGTTTTCCTGGCACTATAGTGGTCCTTTAATTAAAATTCAATGGTTATAAGTTTGAGTCAATATAAATAGCCATACAAATGCTATTTTCTTTGTTATAAACAGTGTTTCCAATTGTTGGACTGCGGCTATGCATTGCTTCATGTTAAAGGTTTTTATATATGCTTGGCTGCTCAAGAGTTGCAGAGTCATAATTATCTTGGCCTATCTGTTACAGCTCACTCCTTGAGCCTGAGAAAAGTTCAGCGTATCGCTTGCTCCTTAAGGGTTAAAGGCAGCAACTTATTCAAAAGCATGATTATTAGTCAGCATTTGTTTGCAAAAGAGAGATATCTTGCTTAGTAAGCTGTAGGATGATACTGCAGTTTTCAAGCTATGGTGTTATCTTTTCTTTAAAATAATATATGGGTAGTGAAAAAAAGGAAATTGGCGGCATCCCTTTTCTACAGACTTAATAATTGTAAAGCTTGCAAATAGAAATAGGGTATTACATGGTCAAGTAATGTGAAACTTCATCTATTCTCCATTTATTAACAGTAAATTTAGACTTTTGTATGATATGTAAAACTGGATTTTTTTTTTTAAATGTCCTGATAAGAATTTTTAAGATGGTTAACCTTTTAAGGATTCCACATAATTCAGTCAAAACATTTTGACATTGTTTTGTAGATCAATGAATGTTGAGTGTGATGTTGCATGGGAGCAATTTCTCTGTTTGCTGCTATTCCTGTTTCTTACCACTTATTTTGTTTTTCTAGGTGACCTTCCATGATGAAGTCACTGTGTTCAATGTATGTAATGAAGAGGATCGGAAAGGTCCCTGGGAGGAGTATGCAAGGGATCGCTGCCGATTCCAGCGTCGCATACATGAAACAGAAGTTGCAATTGGACATTGCTTGACCACTGATCACAGACAAAGGATTTGGGACTGTATGAGAGAGAGGTGGGACAGCTAGCACCCCCTAATCATCACACTAGGTGCAGAAGTTTTTATTTTATTTTTTCAATGAAATTTTTTTTATTTATTTTTTATTTTTTCCCTTTTCAAGTCAATTTGACTGCTCTCCCAAAATTTGGTGAACAGGAGGGAGAAAACCCATTTCTCAATTGTGCTAGAGGTCATTTATTCTTTCTTCTAAAAAAAGCGCCTTAATGAAATTTTTACGTTAAAAAACATGGACTTTTCAATTTCTTTTCTTTTGCAGTGTACTGTCTAATTATTAACTTTCCTTCTCTAAATTGATAGACTTTAAAACCTGCATTATTTTCATTTAAAAAAAAAAATTAATTTGCCAGTAGAAGTCAGCTTTGTCGAATTATAAAAGCATGAACACTTTTTTTTAAACCTACAAACCATAATGGCTGCAGCTTTTTTTAGTACTTCTCAGTTACTACCCACATATGGCAAACTTAATTTATAGGACTTAACCTTAGAAATAATATATTTATGTTTTTACCAGAAAAACACATTAAGTTTAATCAGAAATTCCCTTAAATGCCTCTTAAAAAAATATTTATATATTTTTAAACTGTAAAACACATAATTTCCCACTTTTCAATTCTGATTTTGTACTAATACATGGAACTTGTAAATTTATTAAACTCGTCAAGCTAGTAACCCTTTTTTCCCAGTCACTGTCAAAAATAAAAATAATCTATGCTGTGGGAATTAACGTTTCTGTTGCTTGGTTTTATTGCCGACAATACAATTTATTCGTGATTCAATTTACCATCCTTTTTGGGACTAGGTAACATTGTCAGTGTTATTTTGTATTCCATCCTAGCTGTGAAGTTAAACATTGGAGTGCACCCACAAAACAGTAGCTGTGTGTTAAAATGTACAAAGATAAACCCATTTTTCTATTTCAAACACAAATTCATTTTACTGCTGAAGGAACAGTTTGTTACAACAAACTCTGTACTATACTACTTTATCAAGTGACAGTTGGATACTTTGCTGAATCAAAACTGCATATCTAGCAAGCGCAACATTTTGACCTGCCACTTAAGATCTAAAAGTTAAAAAATAAATAAAAATGACAGACTTTCTTATTTGAATGCACAAAGCATACAAAATAAAAATGTTATCTTTCGACAAACCTCTGTAGTTGTGGTTTGAAAATGGCTGTCTGCAATTTATTGAATACATAGTTTATCACCCAGACACTGTACCATTCCTCACTCACCATAGCTGCTATCTGTTGATACAGATCCCAGTTCAAAACTGTGTGGGCAATAAATATTTTTTGTTTTTGCACCCCCAGTTTAAAGGAGTTTCTGTGCAAAATATAACCGTCTTTATACAACTGCAAACGTGAGATGTAAAAATAGATTTTCTTCATTTTGGCAGTTCCTCTGCCACCAACCTGTAATTTCCTCTTCTGTTCAATTTAGAATGTCATATCTCATAATCTGCCTGCAAGAGCCTTCTGTGTGTGGTTTAAAGCTTACCAATTGGTAGATAAAATCTTCTAAAGTAAACACCCTGAGCTGTCAGATCTGATTTGAACATTAAAACACTTTTTTTTTTTTTTTTCTTGTAGGCTGTGTCGCAGCCAAGCGAGTTGGCTAGGGCTGCATAAACAAAAAGTGATTCAACTCTTAAATGTCAGAGAATTCTGCAGTAACACTGCAGGTTCCTAAAGTATACACCATAAATTGCCTCATTAAACTAAAGTTGTTTTCGTGATTAGAGTATCCGTTTATATGCACCAATTATGGGATGTATTAGGTGAATGCCAAATACAGGAATTGGTAGGCACTTACAGAGCAGTAAAACAGTGCCTCCAGAATGCAGGATCTGATGTGAGCTGGAAGCAAAAGGTTTGTGTTCTTTGGAGTTGGTTCTCACAGTAAAGCAAACAATAATTGGATACATATATGTAGTATTAATACATATGTTTTGCCCTTGCTGCCTACTTTCTACAGTCTGCAACTTAAGTCCCCCAGCAGCTTATACCACATTACTCCCTGTGGCTCAGGCCATACTCAGAGGCAGAGACCATATGAGGGAACACACTGTGAAAAGGAAACGTAGCTAGAAAGGCAGGGATATCCTGCCAAAAGCTGCAACATTTATTTATCAAAACTAAACTTAACAATGGCCAACAAATACCGCATATGTCGTCAAAATCAAATGAGCATAAGTTGTTGTTGCCAATTATGTCCCTTAACCTAGAAATGTATTTTTTTTTTTTTTATTCTTGCATACAGAAGTATGCTGCATGCAGGTCCAGTATAATTCGTGCTATACAAATGTCCATCTGTATATAATTATTATTATTATTATTATTATTATTATTAGATTCATTTTGGTAGGCTAATCTGTTTCAAAGACCATAGTTTTAATGATCTGTGTTTCAACCCAATAGTTCTTCGTAGAGGAAGTACAGTTTACAAAAATCCATGCACATGTTCAAATATTACGTTTTTTTTATTTTTAACGGGTGAGCTATTAAAACTGAGACATCACATCCTACAGCATATGTTCGAGTAAGGTGGCGAGTATTCTATCTTTTTTTTTTTTTTTTTTGACGGAGAGAGAAAAAAGTAGCAATAGAGGACGGACATTTAGCCTGCCCATCTCAAGCTGGTTTTAGCTCAACTTGTGCCATTACAGAGAGAACATATCTGAAGCATATCAGACTGGTTCCACCCATTCTGGAGTCCAGATTCGAAATGCAAGCAAGTTCCCTCTGCACGAAAGATACAGCAACCATTGTTGCTGTTCTTCTGACCATAAGTGATCACTTTCATGATTATCCATCCATTTACTTTTTTTATGCCATTGTTCTGGTGTTATTTTTTTTTCCCCCTTTTGCGCCTATTTATTCCCTTATTTGCACCAAGAAATTCCCTTCTCTGCCTTTTCTGTCCTGTTTATTTTTTTTATGCCACTTCACAAATTTGTCCCAGTGAATGAAAAATAGATTCAAAAGTGCACTTTCTTTACAATTTGTTCTGCTATTATCTGATTGGCAGTTTTCTGTGACTGGTAAGCAGAGTTCATGTTCTTTCTTTTTTGTTTAATGTACAAAAAAAACATTGATACCTTTATACATTGTTTGTGCTTGTGACAGAGCTTTAACTGTGATTTCCATGTCACACTATAAAACATGTAGTAAAACAAGCACTACATATTTTTTCCATTTGCTACCACAAGACCTACCTTATGATTATGAAGATGTCTTTCAAGATCTTTTAAATGACTACTTGACCTTTTCACTGTATATTCCAATCTTGATCCATTGCCATCTATCTTGACCGCCAGGCTCTTGACATTACATTTAGCATCTTTCTTGGTATTGGACAGCACCTCTTCCTATTTCATTGTGCAGGTGTACATGTCTGCCTTTTATGTTCTTGCAACCAGCTCCACTTGCCAGAATATGATATTACTGTGGACAACATTCTTTTATTTTTAACTAATTTATAGATTCTTGGTGGGAGCGCTGAGTAGGCTAGAAGGTAGCTCAGCAGTCATGAATGGGATATGTAATTCAGAGCTCAGCAACGTCCTGTGCATTGGATGATGACCACACATTATCTTGGTCATAGCATCTGTCCATTCACTTAAAGTGGTAAAATACTTGGTTTAAGAAATGGGACATGAATGTGTGCCCACCCTGTTGGCACTCATAGAAGTATCTGAAAAACCTTTACGTATGACATCTGAATATGATGGGCATCACTTCCAGTATATTGCATACTTAAAGGACCACTCTAGGCACCCAGACCACTTCAGCTTAATGAAGTGGTCTGGGTGCCAGGTCCTTCTAGGGTTAACCCATTTTTTCATAATTATAGCAGTTTCAGAGAAACTGCTATAATTATGAATGGGTTAAGCCTTCCCCCTAATCCTCTAGTGGCTGTCTCATTGACAGCTACTAGAGGCGCTTGCGTGCTTCTCACTGTGATTTTCACAGTGAGAGCACGCAAGCGTCCATAGGAAAGCATTATGAATGCTTTCCTATGTGACCGGCTGAATGCGCGCGCAGCTCTTGCCGTGCGTGCGCATTCAGCCGACGGGGAGGAGAAGAGGAGGATCGGAGGAGGAGAGCTCTCCGCCCAGCGCTGGAAAAAGGTAAGTTTTAACCCTTTTCCCCTTTCCAGAGCCGGGCGGGAGGGGGTCCCTGAGGGTGGGGGCACCCTCAGGGCACTATAGTGCCAGGAAAACGAGTATGTTTTCCTGGCACTATAGTGGTCCTTTAAAACTACCTGTTTAACTTAGAAGAAAAAATAGATAGGAAGTACTCCAACAAATTAGGACTGTGGGCATAAGAGGGAATGAACCCCAAATTTTTAGAGAACATTTACCTCTGAGTATTAAGAGAATAGAAGGCATGAAGCCTTTCTTCTCAAAACTCTTGCCAGAGGTATACCCACAGTGATAATAGTAGCTTGTGAGACAAAAATTGGTATAAACCATCTTTATTAAATTATACTTGATAATAGTCTATGGACTCATTAAAACAGAACAGAAAATGTGCAAGTGATTTAAAAAGGACAGAATCTTAGTTGCCTGTATAGATTCTTTAGTGTACGTGAATAGTTCTAGATGGATAGAATAATTATATAGATGAATTGATATGCACGTAGCACTCATAGGAACTACAGGCAAAGGAAATAGATATAGTTGTTCCAGTATCCAAATAAAAGGTTAAGGATATTGCAAACTAATAAGTATATATATCTCTATACTGCTTCCTGTATATATCTTGAATCTTATAGCATATAGGTATAGTGGTAAACATGTAAGGTTAGATCTCTCCATATTGAATGTTAATGGTGGAGCCTGAACACTCTTGAAAAAGGCACCTGAGAGCACTGAAACGCGCGTCGAGTTTTGACGCTAATTTTTTAAGCTAGGACAGATCTTATTGCCTCACGAGCTACTATTATCACTGTGGGTATACCTCTGGCAAGTGTTTTGAGGAGAACTGCTTCATGCCTTCTATCCTCTTTAATACTAAGAGGTAATTTTCTACCTGTTTAACTTGCCTCCTTAAGAGAAGGGACACAGTCAATTAAGGCATAATTATTTTAATTTTTTTGTCATGCATAAGATTTTCACAAACATGCTTGAGGTACCCAAACGGAATTCCCCAGGCTTAGCATCACGTATTACAATTGGGCAGTAGATAAAATGTGCACTTTTTATAATATTAGATACTGACGAAAATAACTGTACTAGGCTTCCAAACAATGGTTAAATCGATAAGTATAAGACAGAGCCTATGCACTCGGAGTATGTTTAGCGATGTGAATTGGCTCGATGGTTAGACATTCAGTTTAACATATAGCAGGTATTAGAAGGTGACCTCGGATCCATGCGGGGCTCCTAGTTTCACCCAATGCCCAAACTTGGACGTGTATAGGGATATGCGGTGGAGACATCTAGGCTAGCGTGGGGGATAGTGGCCCTCCAGCCTCAGGCCATCATGAAAGCATGCATCCCATAACCACAGACTCTGATACTCTCAATTGAGGCAAAGTCTCTCCCTATTGGGATCCAGCCGAAGCTCATGTTTGTTGACACCTTCAGCCTCCGTGGTCGATGCTCCAGGGGCTTAGCCCTGCGGGCCTAAGCTTGTGGGTAAGTTGCGCCTCGAGGGGATCAACTCTGCTCCCGCCTTGCTCCACTTCTCCTGGTCTTGGGTTGATGATTCTGCAAGTCATGCAGCCAATTGTGCCCAGAAATGTGTGAAGTGCTCATCTATGCGCTGTTTCATGCGCTCGATAGGGCATTGTTGGGCCACCACATGCTGCTGCTGATTCTGTGTAGGGTCGGGATGTGCTTCCGCCATCTTGGATCTGCAGTGAGCAATGCTTCGGTCGTTTCAGTCACCTGGTTGTGCAGAGTTATGAGTTCCACCCATGGGGACCGGGATATCCCCCGCCTGTCCAAAAAGCTGAGCTGCTATATTCAGCTTGTAGAGACTGGCTGCGTTTCCTCAGCTCTGCTTCTTACAGGCCTCAATTCACTGACGTGGTTCCTGGTGGGTTTGAGCCTCGCTTCAGGTAGCTACCGATGCGTTAGGGTGTCCCCTTTCTGGAGAGCACCTTAGAGTTAAATTTGTGGCTAAGTGGCTTGAGATATTGCTGCAAAATTTTGCAGGAGCTCGTGCTGGGCATATCTTGTCTGCTTGCAGGTTAGGCTCCCTTAACCCGTTAGGGAGCAAATTTATGGAATAAAAGGGAATCATGACATGTCACGTGTCCTTAAGGGGTTAAAGCATATTTTTATACTTGTAGTGCAGTTTTGAGGTTTATGAAAATTCCTTTGAACTTTTGATAAATTAAGTCAAGGTTACATTCTAGAAACTTTTACCATCCTTAAATGGCATTTCGCTATTAGTAAGCAGACACTTTAAGCATACTAGAAGGCATTTTTCCATGCATATATTAAATTATTTACCCCACTTTCTAGAACCAGCCAGTTAAGCACAGCCTTTCTATTGAGATCACCTTTGTGGCGAGTCTACTGTTCTTTTCGTGCTTTGTCAGTCTTGTCTGCATGTTGATTCATACAGCTCTTCCCATTCAGTGTTGCCATGGGTAACCGGCACGTGTTTGGTTGTTTCCACCAACAAGTCTTTTTACAATGCTCAATTGAATTAGCACTGGAATTATTAAGACCGATACAGTGTATACATACTCCTTTCCAAAAGAATAAAGAAACTTGATGCATAAGGGATGACCTTGCTCTTGCAACTTCTAATTTAGTAGATGTAATATTCTACAGTAGACTTATTTTCCTTTTTAGTTATTAAAGCGTTACACACGTATGAATGCACACATTGGATTTCAAAGCAGAACAAGCATTGTACAGCGGATTACATCGGATTACATGTACCGGTCATTACAAGCTTTTTGAGAAGTGTGGGTTGGAGCAGGACCCTCTCCGACCATGTCCTCCATGAGGTGCCTGCTGGCCCATCTGTTCCTGGTAGGCATCTCCTTACGTGGGTATAGCTAATATTTGTAACCGCATCCGCTTAACATTTTGGCATAGTAATACGCACATTAACAGTAACAAATATCTTAACTGAACTATCGCCTGTGTTGGATTTCACTGTGTGTATGCCGGCTTTCATCTTGATACCTGACGTATTGATATGGGTCCTCTAGGGCCCTTTCTTCCGTGTTTGTGTAGTTGGAGGCAGTGTAATGTAATTGCATGTAGATCGTGGTGTACGTGCTGATTCTGTTTAGTTGCGTGTATTGTGTGGTCTCCCTTCTGTCTATCTCTTACTATCAGATGTTGTACAGAGGGCCCCCGTCACCTGCCCCTTCTAAGTGTCGCCCCCTCCCCCCGCACACCCCACACATTTATATAGTATTAATTTGTAATGTCCAGTCAGGCCCTTGCGCCTCCCCCTGTGGCCTTATGTTTCTCGGTCTTTGTGGGGACTGGAGTGTGGTATAGCCCGGCTTGTATGCCTACCCCTCCCAGCCAGGGGTAG